ACTGTGGATGCACTGTGGATGCTATGGATACACTGTGGATGTCGTGGTTAGACGGTGGATGCCGGGGCAGGACGGTTGGTGCCGTGGATGCGCGGTGGTTGCTATTGTGAATGCTATGGATGCATTGTGGATGCCATGGATGCGAGTTGGATGCTGTGGAGGCACGGCGGATGACGTGTCTGAACATATGACGCCGTGGATACATTGTGGATGACGTAAATAGCCGGTGGATGCACACCGGATGCGATGGATAACTAGTGGATGTGTACTATGGTGGAGCCGTGGACGTACGCCGGATGCGGACATTGGGATGCTCTGGATGTATCATGGATGCTTGATGTACAGCGGATGCGTTACGGACGCCAAGGGTGCTGGACGGACGTCGGATATAATGCTAAGACCATGGACAGTTCTGGGACCTGCCCCGGACAGGAGTGTTCTGGATCGGCAGGATGCTGGAAGTGCACCGGATGTGTCTAGGATCCCGGATAGTTCTTGGATCCGCCCCGGAGACGAGTGCTCTGGATGCGTTATGGACGCGGGGCATGCTGGACGTACATAGGACGTGGCGAGGATCCCGGATTGTTTTTGGACCCGTCCCGGACACGGGTAGCCCGGATGCGATTGGGACGCCAAGGATGCTGGAGGCACATAGGACGCGTGTGGGGACACTGGACAGCATTCGGATAACACCTGGACAGTAGGCCATCCTAGTCGTGGACACTGCCTGGATGACGCCGGACACCGCTGTTTGACTCTTGACACGCTGGATAGGTTCTGGAGGGAAGCTAGACGTCTCAGGACAGCGTGGATGTGCTCTGGATGAACGTCATGTCCAGATCCTGTCCCGCAGTTCCATCAGGGTCATATTGTGAATTTGGCACTTTGTTATAAGTGTTCAGCTTTGGGGCCTCCAGTCCGTCGTTTGGAACTGCCACAAATCCTGTACAGCTAGGGAGCTTCACTATTGGTAAGCCAGGCTCTGAGTGTGAAGCATGGCTGCGTTTCAATAACTAGTGTCGCATGACAATAATCAGCTGTATTTTTCCTTCGCTGACTAATTTGTAAAACCACATGTTTTTAAATTCCACACTCATCAACTTTCACCTTAGTATTTTGGAGTCACCATACCTGTTTTTTTGCTTGAGCTGCTACTGCACTTCTGGCATACTGTTGTTTTTACTCCAAAATGCTTTATTTTAGCAGGTAGTACAAAATGTATAGGGGAGTAAACTGTTAACAATTCTGGATTTGAACTAAATTATGTTCCAATTTTCAAATTAAATACATTAAAAATCATTGTTCTAGTATCTCTGAATGCATGGCACAATAAGTGATCAACATTTCTAATACTTCAATTGATAACACCGCAGCTTTAAAGTTGACCATTAACATTAACCATTGTTAATTATTTACTTGTATGTATTTTCTTTTTCTTCACAGAAAGCATTTCAACCATTAACTGGAAGGACACTTAATATGATATCTAATAAATTCTGCATGGACAGAAAAATAAACATATTGAACTCATCATGTGCAACTGTGTTTCTAATCTTTAACCGTCTGACATGTTTGTTTCAGGAAGTGGAGGATTCAGCATGGGAACAGGCCCACCAACACCCCAGAGGACGTCACGAGCATTACAACCACGCCGCCGTAGGATATAAGTCTTCATTACGCTCGCAGCTCTTCTCAATGTTGTGCTCACATCATGATGTAATGTGTGTACATATGCAACGATAAAAACAAATTAGTATTTATGTATTTTATTTTGATTTGTATCTTGGTTTGTTTACTTTTGTACATTTCTTTTGTTGTAATTCTTTATTTACATTGCTAACAGTGTGTTGTCAATACAAAGGAGAAGCTTTTGTAGTATGTGTTAGGTAGATTCTGAGAAATTGAAAACAAAATCAGTATAAATTTGTCTTGTATCAGCTTTTTATAAAACTGAGATTTTATTTTCTTTTATTGTAAAGTATGTTTAAATTATTCCAAACATTTGAAAAGGAACTGCTCTGTTATTTTAGCATCCTTTGTGTGATTTGTTTTAAATGTCCTCAGGTATAGTACAAATTAGTCCAGGTATCAGATGTAAGGCCAGTTAATCAACTCATAGATTTTAAATTAGACCTCTAATTTTAATGTTGGTGGACTGACAGCTTAAAACAAATTTTAAGTTAAAAAAAGGAGACAATAACATCATGATTCAGTTTTACAAATCATGTTGTGCTCTATGTATATTTTGTTTTCTGAGACAACAAAGTTCTGGTTTTATTCAATTTCATGGAACCTTTATTCTGTCAAAGGTTATGTTTGAACCCTTATTTGAAATCTTATTTTTTTTCGCCTTTTATAGCGCTAGATGTGCCATTTTCTCATCAATTGGGTGTTGTATGATGGCCTAAGTGAAACTTCCTGCAATTGTTACTGTAGAAAAGTAAGTAGCTCAAAAAAAAAAAAAAAGAAGTTATTTGCCTCCTAATGGTTCTCCTACTGCATACTATGCCAGTTTTACTTGGTTTCTGTTTTTTTACAAATATGCTTCTAAGACTACATGAACAATCCTTTTCCAAAAGTTTTGTTAATTGGATTGATTTTATAAATAACCTAAGGTCATTGTCCTTTAACTACATTCCTAGATAAAACCGTGTCCCTCCTTTGAAACCATTATTGAACTGAATCATATTGATGTGCTACCTTAATCTTCAAATGCTGTCAAACTTGAGGTTCAGAAAATGCAAAGTTTAAAAGACAAATTTCTTGAATGGTGTTAGGTTTTTGGTTTTCTATGAAATTCTTAAAAAACTTTCCACGGATGTGCTTAACTATCTGTTTACTTCTTAACAAGATAACCTTAGTTTTTTAATATGCAATGAAAGTTAGGGATACAATTCCTAAAAAAAAATCAACATGAAACTTCAGTAGATACTTAGATACGTGCCGTGTTATTTTGTCATTTTCATTATGGAATCTCTTGGAAAGATATATCTATCTATATTGTTAAAACTGCTACTATGTATATTATGAGATGAGACGCACAGTACCCTGACTTGCTTTTTGTCACATCTCTAGTTTTATCCTCTTTTGTGAAGAGAACCCATCACTTGGACAATACCTAGTAGGTGGTCATACTTGTGATACGAGGGATTTTTTTAAAAAAATTTCCCTTCAAATCTTTTGGACACATGAAAATCTTTTCAATGTTGGTTCACCATGTACCTGACTTAACTTTTTTTCTAAGTGAAAACTTTAATGAATACGTTTTAGTGTTCATTTTTTACTTGAACCAAAATTTAGGTTCTTTGTAGTGTTGATAACTTATTCCAAGTTATTTTACGGCCACCTAATGGGTAGACTTGTCAATTGCTAGGTAAAATAAGGATACTATCATTTCAATTGTAATTTGTATTAAAAATAGGTGAGGTGGCTATGTCTTACTTGATATCTGTTGGGTTGGTGCTTGTATATAGGACATATTTTTTTTCAATTTGAGAAAAACCCAAGATCATTAGCAGTAGCTAATGTTCTTTTATATTTTATACAGTAATGAAAGTAGACTAAACAAATAGTTTTGACACTTGGTTTATGTTGTGTTGTCATGAAATACTATTCTCATCTCTTTGTCCATTTTTCTGGAAGTTTCTTGCATGGGCTGCAAACTACTCAATTTGTCATTCTGCAAATTATTTTTTTTTAGTGTTCAGTATTTATTCAGAGAAGTTTGTGAGTACTGTACCAGTAGTTAAGAGACTCAAAGAAATAATGAAGGAAAAACATTTCCAATCCAAACTAGTCCAATATTAATTCATTGTCCTAAATGGAGGAAAGAAACAACATGGTAATTAATTATTGTTTTGTCTATTTTTGATGAAGAACTTATATTTTTATTATGTAAGCAACTTCAGGAAGCAAAGAATTTTAACATGATATCTTGTCTTGTTTGAAAATATATGAGAGAAACCATTGAAATTGCACTGTGTTATTCTTCAGTAACCCTCTGAGGCTTGATAAAAAATGGAAAACACCACATTAAGGTAAAAAATTGCAAACTGGTCTGGGGGCCTCCTAGAAGAGGTCAAGGAAAGAAAGAGTAAACTTTCAATACTGGTTCTGAATATCTTCCTTTATTTAAAATGATATCTAAGTTCACATGATAGACAAAGTCCTCTAATAAATATTAAATAACATTCGGTTCTTTCATTAGTCGCAGATTCACTGGAAAAACTAATGTGACCTGAGTCAGGTTTCTTGATGCACTCTAGCGAGGAAAGTTTTCATCATGAACTCTCTTGGTAGACCGTGTTTGGAATGCACTCTGCCTGTTGGTATCCCCATCTATTTGTATGGACCAGAGAGCATGATGAAATGTTTTCTCCGGAGTGCATAAGATCATGAGACACATATCACATTACATTAGTTTATCCACTGATTTGATACGTATGCTGAGATCTTTCAAACTTCTTTGTGGTTATATGTTTTGAAATGAAAGAAATCACAAATAGAAGTGGTGTGTGCACTTGTATTTAAACACATGCTGAAATTTTTGCATTACATTAGATTAAGATAAGATCATCTTTGGCACTGTAAACATCTTAAGAAATCAACAGAATCTTTTCGTAACAATGAAACATGTGATGGATACAGAGTTGTATCTAAGATACATAACAATTTGAGGTTTAAATCATCTCTTTGGCATAATCACTTTTGATCAACAGGCTTCTCAGCCTTCAAAATCTAATAATACTATACACCCTAAAGGAGCAATCATTTCTTACAACACACATAAAAGAACATTTGCAATAAAATTAGCAGGAAAAAAATATGTAGACCCCCCCTCCCCTCCTCTCCCAAAGTCTGCTAGAATTAATAGTATTGAAGAGATACCCATCATTAGGCCTATTTATTTGGCTTGGCACTGGCAAATGTACAAATAAATCAGATTCACAGTGTATATCACCCTTTCTTCCATCCATAAATCGACATGTAGTCTTCACCTCTTTCATCAACTAATATGCATCCCATATATTCTAAGGAATATAATTCCTAGAAAAACAAGATGAAATATCACTCTTCAATGCAAAACCCAGTTTATGTTCTGGCTGCTCCACCTGTTTGCTATTTAATGGAAGAACATAGACAATTTTACAAAGCTCTATATTTTTCTTTGGCAAAAGCAATTCTCAGTTAAGCCATGAGTAAAACAAGTACAACATGTTTTTCCTGTTAAATACTGTAATTTGAGTTAATTTTCATGTTGTGCGATACTTTGTTTTGATATGTTGGTGGAATGCCAGTAACTTTATTTAAAATTTAAAAAAAGAAGCAAAAGCAAGGAAGGATGGAGATGGAGAGAAATGCACACATATCTAGTCTGTTCAGGATGAAACAGGCTCTTGACTGTTATTCTAAGAACAATAAAAGTATATAAGCTTTATAGTAACAGATAAAAGATAATAGTAAGTTATATATCACAGTGAGATTTTGTCCCTGTACTACTGAAAGCTCTATACAAAATATTCTAATAACTCCATACAGTTGTTTCCTGCACTGTTGGCAAGGGGTTTGCCAGTGTGTCATTAAACAAGTCCCAAACTGTTAACGAGACAAGTGGTTAGTACAACCGCATGAGAGATGACAGTTCAGAATGTGCTATGAGTTTCATAAAATTCAGTCATCTAGTTCCAAACTGTAGCAGTTCCCTGTGCTTACTGAGGATGATTTATCTTTTACCAACAAGAAAGCACAGCAGATACAGTTTCCAAATGAAATTGAAATATCTGCTAATCATTATTTGTTGTTATACATTTTATTTCCTAAGACTAAATTTACCCCCCCCCCTTCCTCCCAAATCAGAAATGTCGGAATATTTATTTTTCATTTCCATTAACAAAGTAAAATATTTCATAATGGTTCAAACGTCTTTGAGCTGATCACAAAAAAACTCTCATGAGTGCATTTTTATGGAAAGGAAAGCGCCAGAATCTGTCAGAAAACAAGTCAAGTCATAAACTTCAAATTTTAAAATTTTTGAAAGCCCACTCTATTTTGACATTTTACACTTGACATTTTATATTAATGGCGCATCACTATTTAAACTGCTGGGAGTCTCAGCTCATTGACTTTTTAAAATTGGACCAACGCCACCTATGGGTGAGCGACATGCCCATCAAACGTTCATGGCGTAATACACTGAAGATGCGGCAGCTGCCTGCGTGGTCGGACCAGACGCGGGCGGGAACTCAGACGACGGCGAGGAGACGGCGTTGGCCGAGTTTGGGGATGTGAGGTCCTTTGGCTGGTGCGCGTGCGAGGCGTCGTACAGCGCCGGCGACGAGGAGGCGGCGCCCTCGGGCACGCCGCGCTCGGCGCGCTCTGCGTGGAAGCCCAGGGCGGCCACGGCCTTCGCGCCCCGGGTGGGCGAGCCGTGGCCCGGCATCGGCAGGCCGGGCAGCGACGGCAGCACGGGCTGCTCCTGGTACACGAGCGGGCCCAGCGGCGGGCCCACAGGCCCCGTCGTGGTCGTGGCCTGCTGGTAGTACGCCGTCTGGGTGCCGATCACCACCTGCTGGTGGTCGTACCGCTGCGGGCTCTCCGAGCGCCGCGCCGTGGCGAGGAGGTGGACCTGCCGATGGGAGAACGTCAGGTCAGAAAGGGGCCGCGACCTAAAGGCATCACCCAGAAAGTAAGCCCGCTATTCGCCAACACGCCAAGCTCACTGTCAGCCAATGCAAGCTCTTATAGCGCCTGATAGGTAGGCAAGAGCGAGCCTTCAGTGCATGTGTGTGTTGCGGGGTGGCCTATCCCGAGTCTCGCAGGCGCCGAGCTCTCGTAATTTGTCGAAAGAATTGATTTGATACAAACGGATGTACTCTCTGGACGAATCTTGAGTGCCATAGCACTATACAGTGAGGATGGTGAACATTTTGTCGGAGTGTAAAGTTTAATCAAAACCCAAACTTGGCCCGCGGAGGGTCAGTATAGCCCGCTCACCTGTACGGGCGTTCCGCTGGGGAACGGTAGCCGGATGGCGTGCGTCTGGCCGTGGTCCACGCGGATGAAGGAGGCTGCCGGGGCGCCGGGAGGAGGGCCCAAGGGCTGGCCCAAGGGCTGGCCTCCAGCGGGCCGCGGCTGCGCGTGGCCGTGCGCGGGCAGCGTGGCGTAGGGCGGGTCGTAGCCCTGGGCGCCAGCCATGCGCATCTGCAGCACGCTGCCGGCCGCGCGCCTCGCGTAGATGTCCATGTCGTCCCTGCCGGAGCCCGTCGCCGCCGGGCCGGCCTGCCCCGCGCCCACCTGCCCCGCACCACCGCCCGCCGCCGAGCTCATGGAGTACGCGCCCGACGTGGCGGTGGCCACGGTCTGGCCCGCGATGCGCATGAGGTACTGCTGCCCCGCCGGGTACATGACGGAGTGCTCGGCCGCCGCCGCCGTGGAGACCGTCATGCGGTGGAAGTCGCTCGGGTGGTAGACGTACGGCTCCTCCAGGTCCAGGTTCCTGACCGGAACTGCGGAGAGGTCAAAGGTCAGTTTCCGGAATGGTCAAGTATTTAAATTGGGCAGGCAAGCGCCCGGAATGTTCTGTCTCTCTTCTCTCTTGCTCTCATCTGCGTCAGATACGAGGGAGAGAGGCAGGCGAGGCGCTTGCCCACCCTACTGGAAACGCCCCCGTAGGGTAGGAGCTTACCTGGAGGAGGTCCAGAGCGAGGTTCGGGGTGTTGCCCAGTGTGCTGGCCGGGGTGTTGTCCAGCGTGCTGGCCGGGGTGTTGCACAGTGTGTTGGCCGGGGTGCTGGCCTGGGTGTTGGCCAGGATGCTGGCCAGAGTGTTGCCCGGGGTGTGGCAGGGGCTCCTGCAGTGAATCCTCTCCCGCCCCGGGCATGGAGACGGAGGCAGGCCAGTGGTGTGCGGGACACGGGGGTCCCGGCGGCGACTGCTGCGTCATCTGGCCGACGACAAGACCATCAGCTTTGTCCAGGGTAACTCGAAAGTTCAATGCTGGTCGACCGACCGACCGACCGACTCACCTGGTTGACAATTTCCTGAGTCGTGCCGAAGCGCGGACGGATGCCGCGGACGGATGGTCTCCGGTTGAAGCCGTAGTCGTCGTGCTCATCGTCCTCGCCGTCAGAGCCAGCTGCCTGCGAGGAGCTGCTGCGGGACAACGAGCGTCGGTCAGGCGCAAGTCACTCGTCGCACACGCAGCGACACGCAGCGCAGTGGGACGAGTGGGACGCTTACCTGTTGAGAGAGTACCTCTTCCGTATCCGGTCTATCCGGGACTGGTCGCGCTGCACGAACAGCGCCAGCTCGTCCATCTGCTGGTTGTGCTGCGCCGCGGAGCTCGACTTGGCCTCCGTACCTGGGACGAGAGCACGAGTTATAGCGCGCCGACAGCCGACACTCGAGACAGTTGACTCCGGCCGTCTCACACTTACCTGCCACCAGGTCGGGCTGGGGCTGCGCGTGCTGCTGCGGTGGCGGCTGGCCGGCGGGCGCGGCGGGCGCGCTATTGGCCAGGGCCTCGTCGATGTCCTCCAGGCTGTACTCGTGGCCCATGCCCCCACTGCGGCGGTCTCCGGCCGCGTCCTGGAACAGGTCGAACACACACGCGGTCACCAATCTGCCACGACAGACAGACAGTCGTTGTCTAAGAGCAGCGTCAGCGTCAAGGCGCCGCCTTCCCCCTCCCCGCTGTGGTTTGAAGGGGGGCCTGTCTGTATCGGACATGGTGCTGACGGCGCAAAGGAGTTAGGCGGGGGGTGGAAGAGAATAAAACAGGTTGCGTGACTCTCCTACCCTACCCCTCCCTCGCTCCGGGGCCCGTTGCTCCCGATCACTCCCCAGCTTTCGAGATGAAATCCCAGAGCAGATTTCTATTGATCCCATTCAGGTCCAAGTGGAGCAGGCTTTCTTGCCTTCAGCCTCGGGGGCTGGATGGCTCTGGCCGCGCCGGCACCCCGTCCCGCCACGCTGGCGGCAAAAAGAGACCTCGCCGAATCAACCCACGAAATGCTGCTGGTTGAGCGTGTCGGCCGATTTGGCCTAAATTGGATTAGAGTCTGCCATCCAATCAAACTGCAGTACATCCGCTAAAGCCGGCGGCGATGGGACGCGTGGGGTGTCGGCGAGTGAAGGGGGTATGGCGGCGGCGGAGTCAAGCCATCCGAATCCCCAGCTTGGGATAAGGGTTTGGGGTAGCAAGTCTCTTTCACAACCCCACACTGATGCAGTGTTTGCTCGCCGATCACCTCCCCACTACCTGCTCCCACCCACCTCCCCGACCCCACC